GAGGTGGTAGTATTTCTGTCGCTTATGACTTCAGTCACTTTTCCATGAATAAAATAACCAAAACACCAAACAATGGTAATGTGACTAGTCAAGAAAGCAAATTCAGTGGACCACAATTTATGTCATTTAAACCCGTTTCTGAATCAGATTTGAAGAAACAAATTCTTTCATCTAAAATCCACTACATGTTCACTAGATGTTCTCCCAACTATATTCCTATTGCTGATTTTGGATACACTGCTTCTAACACTTAGTTAAATCATAAATACCATTTTGGAAACAGGGATTGCCCCTCAATGTTTAAAAGTTCTAAATAATTACAGACCTGTGTCTAATCTCTCTTTCATCTCCAAAATGTTTAGAAAGTTGTGAAGTCGCAGCTCATGTCTCATCTTGACAGGTTTAATCTTATTGAAAAATATCAGTCTGCTTACTACACGTCTCATAGAAACACAGAAGTAGCTTTAAATTCAGTTTTAAATCAGATGTTTCGTTGATGGTGTTGATGTCTCTGTACTGGTTTTAGTCGATTTGAACTAAAAAAAAAACTGAGGCCATGTTAATTGGATTCTAGAATTGCCAGTTATGTTGTAATTGGTTTCTATTTCCTTTGTCTCCACGGCTAAAAAGCTTGGAGTGTACCTAGGTTGAACTTGGGAATGGAGAATCACATCAGTCTTCTCTGCATGTCATTTCCATCTCAGAAACATAGGAACTATTCGTCATCCGATCATTGCCATGTAGACGAGTTGACTGACATTCGCTTTATCAGACAACCAGATAAATCGACTACAAAAGATCAAAAGATGCAAAATCGAACAGCCAGACTAGTCACTTGCACAAAACTAATGCACATATCACCTCCGTTTTAAACGACTTACACTGACAAGATACTGTGTTTGACTTTTCAATAACATTAGCCCTTCCTACATTCAAGACCATGTTCAACTATATTTTCCTTCCAGAAATCTGCGCTCTAAAGAATTTCAACCTGTGAAACCATCATTTAACTTAAAATCATTTGGTGCTAGAAAATTTGCATATGCTTCGGCACATTTATAGAACTCCCTCAAAATCATCTCCAAACTTACAAGATTCAAAAATCCAAATTGAAAACATATTTTTATACGCCCACACATAAGTTTGGGCATATATTGTAATCACTCTGTCGGTCTGTCCGTCCGTCGGTCCGTCCGTCCGTTCACATTTGGCTCGTGCTCACTCTACAGGCTACAGTTCTTTATGGATTCTTTTGATTTTTATTTTGTATGTCAATGTTGTTATGAAGATGATCCCTATTGATTTTCGTGATAATCGGATAATTTTTCACCGAAATATCGTGTCTGACTTGACGTTTCTCTCTATTAGCTATATTGTGCAACTCGTGCTCACTCTACAGGCTACAATTTTGTACAGATTCTTTTGATTTTTATTTTGTGTGTCAATGTCATTATGAAGATGATCCCTATTGATTTTCGTGATGATCGGATAATTTTTCACCGAAATATCGTGTCTGACTTGACGTTTTACTCTATTAGCTATATTGTGCAACTCGTGCTCACTCTACAGGCTACAATTCTTTACATATTCTTTTAATTTTTATTTTGTATGTCTATGTCGTTATGAAGATGATCCCTATTGATTTTCATGATGATCTATCGATTTTCATGATGATCGGATAATTTTTCACCGAAATATCGTGTCTGACCTGACGTTTTACTCTAT